GTGAAGAAGAGACACACATTAAATATAAAAACATCAAAATTACAAAATATTACTGATGCAAGTGAAAGAAAATATAAATAAACAGAGAGATATATCGTATTTGTGGATAAGACACTCAATATTGATACCAGTTCTACCAAAATTGATCTACAGATTGAATGCAATTTCAGTCATAATCCCAAAAGGCCTCTTTTCTAGACACTGACAAACTAATTTCTAAAATTTATATAGGAATGCAAAGGATTCCAACATAGAATATTTAAAACAATTCTGGAGAAACAACAACAACAAAGTTGAAGTCTTAAATTACCTGACTTCAAAACTTACAATAAAGCTAGAGGAATCCCGTAAGCGTGGTACCGCGGTGACAGGTGAACAGGCCAGAGTCTCAGAACAGGGAGCCCAGCAATGAACCCATGCTTACCAGCTCACTTGATTTTGACTTCGTGCCTTTATAGGCACCAAAATCAATCAAACAGGGGAAATAAACATCTTTTCAACAAGTGATGTGGGAGCATTCAGATATCCCTATGGTTCAGAGAAAAACCTCACTCCTTACTTTACATAACATACAAAACTGGGGAGAGAGGGCACACAGCTCAGGGGCAGAGCGCATGCTTAGCATGCACGAGGTCCTGGGGTCAATTCGTTAAAATAAATAAGTAAATCAATAAACCTAACTACCCTCCCATAACATATAAAAGTAATCTGAGACATCACAGTTCTAAATGTAAATCTAAATCCATAAAGCATGCTGGGGAACATTATTGGTGTAACGTGGGGGCAAGAAAAAATTTCTTAGACAAGATACACAAAGTAACTGCCATTTAGAAAAACAACAACACTGATAAGATAGACTTTATCAGAATTAAAAAACTCTATTCATATTCATAAAGACTATAATTAGGTCAACTACAGACTGGGAGAAATCATTTCCAAAACATATATCTACCAAAAGGACTTGTAACCAGGACATGTGAAGAATTTTTACAACTCAGTAATAAAGGGACATACAGAGAGGGCCTCTCTGTATGCCTCAGATTCAACCCACCCTGGACTGTGTGGTACCATAACTGTACTGACTGAAAAATATCCGCATAAAATGGCCCCACACAGTTTAAGTCCATGTTGTTCAAGGGTCAACTGTACACTCAGCCCATGAGCACAAGCAAAATTGCTCAACATCATTAATCATCAGGAAGACGCAAATTAAAACCATGATGAGATACCCACCAGAGTAAAACCACGGAGACTTCCAACACCAAGTGTTGGCAGAGACGTGGAGCAGCTGGAACTCCCCTGTGCCACTGACGGGACGAGAAACAGCACAGCCCTCGGAGAACAGGTGTGGCAGTGTCTTATAAAACTAAACAAGCTACTTTCTGATTTGGCAGTTCCACTCCTAGGTATCAGCTCCAAAGAAATGAAAACATATGTTCACTGTAGCTTATTCAAAATAGTAAAAGAGCAGATACAGTTTAAAAACAAAGGGGTAAATGGTAGCATGTTTACAGATGATGCTTAATATCGGAAGGTATCAGAATCTTGAGGAAGAAGAAGGCATAGTTAAAAAAATCTCACCAGGTGACTCTGATATATACACCACCTAGAAAGACATTCCATGTTAGAAAAAAACCAACTTACAAATGAGCCTTTGGAACATAACTTGTATGAAAGTACTTTCTGATGTACAGTCAGCAGTTGCCCATCAGGACACATTTCGAACACAGCTCTATTCTGGGGATGTCAGAGCAGGCTTGCAGGTGCGGGGGCGGGGGGGCGGGAGGTGTGGTTCCCTCACACATTTAGCCCAGAAGCAAAGGAGTCCACTGGTACCACTTTGGTGTGACTTAACATGGTTTTCTTGGGCAACATATTTCCTTTCCAAATGTAATTTCATTTGACCAACATGAGCACTTGTTTACAGTGCCAAGTCCACGAAAGGTGCTAGTGTCCGAGGGCTTAAATGTGTGGTCAGAGGAAGGTAGAATTTGTTACCATTACCTGTGATTTGCTGGCAGATAATCAAGAACTGCCTGTAATTGTTCATCAGAGTAGCTTCCAGCTCTGAGGTCCCCAAATGTAATGTGCTAGGAAATCATTTATAGTTAATAAAGTTCCTACCACAGTACAGAAATATTGTTAAAATCTTGACCTTTTCCCCCAAGGCTATCTAAAATACTAAATAATTCAGAATAATGCAAAGAAGAGTAAACCGTAGCTGAAATGTGATTAGCATCTATAGGAAGGCAAAACAAAGTGAGTGAATATGGGCTCAACTCACAGTTTTATTTGTGAAAGATATTAATACTTTTTCAAATACTTGAACAATTTACGCCTTCATAAGTGTTCCTGAAGAACTTACGTCTTCATGTGCCAGCATGAGAAACTGTTGAAAACTTGTTACTACACAAAATTGAAACACTTGCCAGTTCTAGAGATGGTCTCAATGGACGTGGACCCTCTCAATCTGAGTTAACAGTAACTTGAGAGGAAACAGAGGCTAGAGCTGCGTTTCCCTAGCTGCGCCACCCCCTGCCCCGGCCAAACGCAGACTGCGCACTCTCCTCGCTGACTTACGCTCGGAGGACGGAGTTTCACCTCCAGTTGTAAAACTGTTATACACGCGTCTCCGAATTCCCCTTGGTGCCTCTGCCCCCGAGGATTCTGCTGGGCTTCCCCTTCCTCGTGTTTGAGAGTCTTGATGTAAGAGGACAAAATTAAGTTTTACTGACGAAGTACAGGATGTTAATGTCATTGTCCATGCTTCCTAGAAAAGAGACATTGCTGTTTTGGAATCAGCGGGTTAGGGACAGTGTCCAAACGGTCCGCGGAGCCGAGTGCTGCAGGCAGAGCTGCCCATGCGCCTGCTCCCTGGTCCCCAGCCGCGGCAGAGACAGGTGGCGGTCACTGTCAACAGACAGGTGGAAATGAACTGCTGCGGACAGAGGGCCCTTTGGGGACCCTGGCTCCTGACCACCTGCTCACAGCCCGTGGCTCAGGTGCGGAAGCAGGACTGGGGAGACCCCCGGAAGCCAAAGTTACCCGCCACCAGGAGCACCTCCCTCTACAGATGATCCTCTTTAATGTGAAAGAGAAAAGGAGTCTGACAAACAGAAGTTTTCACTTTTAACAAAGTCATGTGTCTGTTCTGAATATCAAAGGATTCCTGTTTGTGCTGTCAATACTGTGCTTAGATATTATAGTTGGGTAGTTACAATATTACAGATTTATCTCTGTGTCATTGAAGATACAGCAATTGCTCTCAACTCCAGGAAATGGGAGGCAGTGATGTAAACAGAATCCTGCTGTAATTAAAAAGCTGAGATATTGTCAGCAACATGAATCACTCAGTTATTCTGATTTCCAAAAAATATACTTACTGTGCTTCCTTCTCATCAAAATCATAACTTTGTGTTATTTTCTTGAATGCTTACACGTGACTTTTGTATTATGTGAATATTTTTGGTGTTATTGTTGTAGGACTAAAAACTTCTGAGAAATTAGCCTAACTCATGAGATTATTCCCCACAACTTTCTAAGTAATTTATTATAGTTACTGTTAAAAGGAAGATAAAATTTAATCAGGGGCCAGTTCTTCTGTAATTTTCAGGGAGACATATGCATTCTGCTCCAGTGACTCCAGCTGTTTCTGCAAAACTGAGAGACCCGGCCAAACACTGATCAGTCGTTGTGGTGCCAGTTACATCCTTTTGTGTATAAGCAACAATCTCCAACAGCAACTATTGCAAATAAAGATGCACTCAGAGGAAAAAAAAAATTGCAAAAGAAGCGTTGTTTGCTTTCACCTTACATGATAATTCAAAGTCCAGGAGAGAAATCAGCAGTATTCTTAATGCTGTGCCTGGACAGATCTCGAACTGACTATAATTAATCAGTAGAAGAACTGCCTGTTTTCCTGTAATACCCCATATGTATGAAAATGTGAATGCCACATCCATCTCTTGTAAATAATTTTATAGTAGTTTTTAACTCAAATTTTAAAAAATCTTTATAATATCAAGGAATATAAAATGATGCAAAGTCAAACAAAGAAGCATTTCGCCTATAATATTGCCTATTGCCTTATTGGCTCTTCATACTTAACTAGAATAAAAATCATTAGTATGCTGTCATCTTAGTTTTTTTTTACACATGAATAAAATTCCTGTTAAAACACACACACGTACACTTAGAGCTCTAACCACAGTGATGAACAGTGAAGTAAAAAGACTTTGTGTAAAAACATTAATTCTGAAAGGCTGTATGTTTGCAAGCAAATGTGCTTACCAGAACCAGACTGAAAACTTAGTAGGGAAAACCGCCTCTGCACACATGGATGCTAAGGACACAGGCTGCACGGACCTTGTACACCCCATTCAAAGGACCAGCTCGCCCTTTCTTCAGAGAGCGAGCAAAGGAACTTGTTACTTGTTTTCATTCCCAGTAAAGCCTTGTCTGAATTTCTCATCTGGCCTCTTAGCAACTTCTATTGCTTAAGGAGACTAAGAACCCTGGTCAGGAGCAAGTTCATGGCTCCCCTTTATTCCCCACTTTCATGCCGTTTCCCTTTACAATTGCCACTGTCATTGTTGGAAAATATGATTTACATATTTTAATGCATTTTAACCTTCTTCCCCCTAAACTGAACTATACAAGGGCAGGGAGTATACTTGTTTTATGTACTAAGAGAATATCCAGTGTTTTCCCGTAAAACCTCAGTGCTTAGAAGTTCTTAAATGTGAACCAAAGTGGTCTCCCCTCTAGAGTCTAGCTCTGCTTTTTGACAGCTACTTGGAGACAGCTCTTGAGCCCTGTAAGGAAGTTCTTAGTTCCAAGCCCAGTGGGCAGGGTGAACGCTCCCCTGGTCCCTCCAGCCACCTCCTAGCACCTTGGGGATCAGCAAGCAATGGCTGAAACCCACTCTGGACTCTGTGAACAAGTCTTTCTATTGGAGATCAGATTTCTGCCCCTCAGAAAATGAACTTTCCATCTTTCAGAAGATGCCAGACTTTGCTGGGGAGAAGATTCTGGTCTATTTCCAGTCTGTCTCTGAGGAAACACCCCATGTGGAAACGCTAATGAGGATGAACACGACACTGTTTAATTATAGCCCAGCAAGTCATTTATAATTACCTCTTCATCTAATGCTTCTGGGGAGGAAGGAGTGAACTATGTTCCCGTTAGAGGTGAGTGAACTCTTTCTGGCTCCTTATTGCAGTAGGAGCTGTAATTTCCCAAGCGTGACGCTTGCAGCAAAACAGTTCAATTATAATCCAAACACAGGCAGTTTACTTACTGGTAGGATGGGTGCCCTTGGTTCATACTTAAGAGGACTCAAACATCAGATGGAGTCGTCTCTGTTCTGATCGCCGGTGGGGTGGCCAACATTGGTGGGGAGGGGTTGAGACTTGTGTAGGGTTCAGCACCCCTTATAAGTGAGAACTCATCCATGAGGTTGAAACGGCACAGCAGGGCATAGCCCCACACTGCTTCCTCGCTAATGGCTTGGAAACCGCAGCTAAGACCCCTGGTGCAGATCTGGTCTTCCTGCTCCTTCAGTTCCAATCTATGGGGCCTTGGAGAGTGCAGTGTGGTGCTCTGAGAACACAGTTCCGCATCTGCGGTCACAGCCAGGCCTATGTCTCCATGGAGGCTGGCACAGAGGAGTCCTGGGAGACCGGTGCTGTGGATAAGCAGGGCGGGAGGAAGGCTAGGGGGCACGGGCCTTTTGGCAAAAAATGACACATATCAGAAAAATGCCTTATGGCAAGATTTGGGCTGGGGACTCAGGTCATTGATCCAGTGTTTTCTGTCAACATCTGTGACATAGTCTCTCCTTAGGGAAAAATGTGTTCAACACACCGCATATGGCTGCCTGGAAAAGGGGTAGTTCTCACAGAGCCCAGGAGCCCCTGGGGCAAAGCACTCAGCTTCCCTGCAAAGTGGCCTTTGGCGTTGCTGGGGATAGCGCCGGAGAGCTTTCTCCCTTCTCTCTGGGCAGAAGAGCCAGATGACAAACGCAGTGATAGAAAGAGTGCAGGCACGACGGTTAGGGTTGCAGGGACATGGACGGAGGTGGCTTTGGCCAGGCGTGGAATCGCGCCTGAGGGTTTCTCTGATGGCACCTCCCCTGCAGCTGCCTTGCTATCAAGGAAGACCCTCTCCCTCCAGAAGCCTGGGATTTGGATCAAAGGGATGGGAGTCGAAGAAGCAGGAGCTGGGTGAAGGCTAAGGCGGGAACCGTCTATAGTGATCAAGCTGTCACCTTGGCTCCTCCCCACGACCTGGCCACACCCAGGAGCAGGGCCAAGCCACGAGCCCCTCCCATGCAGGCCTCTGCGGAGTTTGCAGCTTCCAGAAGCAGCCGGGCCCTGCTGGTTTCTCACCTCCCCCACCCCAGCTTCCGGCGTCTCCTGGTATCTTGTTAAGGGGTGGGGGACAGCTTGCACTTAGATTTATTTGTTTCTTGCTTTTCGTTTTGGGAGATTGCCTGACACTGGGAATAATGCGCAGATATCTGACGATGTGCTGTGAGTTTCCTTTCTTAGCAGACAGTCCTCTGCTCAGAACACCCCATCTCGCCCCAGTGTAAGGCTCCATTTTAGCGCCGTATTTACACAGCAAGTGTCTGGTCCTCGGGTGGGAACTGTGACCACATTCCCCCGCAATGCCGTCACGTGGTTCTCCGCAGGGCCTGGGAGTGAACTGAAGATGCCCCTCCCCGGACACTCAGCCAAGGTGCTTATCAGAGACTCTTCTCTGTGCGTTGAGGGAAGTGAGTTCAAGTGAGCCTGAAAGCACGGTGGGTGGGAGGGGTCCAAACCCACTGGTTTGTGCTTCAGACTTTTCAGACTTCGCTTTCTCTGGGGCATGAAGAAAAAGCAGGCAGTAATCCCCTGTCTCAGCTAAGGACGCAGGCCTCCATCACATTCCCTCATGTGTCCGCCCGCTAGGGAACAACGGGTGGTAAAATGACAGGTGTTTCAATTGTGAGTACTAATGTTTTTAGCTATTTCATTCTCTATGAACAAAGTAGAAAAATCAGAGCGAATTCTGCTTGAAAGTAAATCTAGAGGAGTGGTGAGCTTTCTCCTCAGTTTTTGTGTGCCAATGGGAGGCAGAGACTGCTAATCCCTCCTCTTTTCCTTGGTGCCAGAATTCCAACTGTATTCTACAGATCCAAGTACCAAGTTAAGAGAGTACGGCTTCCAGTTTCCTTGAGACTAAGTCCTGGCCAATGAATGAGTTGTGAGCTGAAGTCTGGTGTGGTACTTCCTAGAAGGCTTCTTGAAGGGAGTTGACTCTACCAGGGAGTTTTTGCAACATCAGCTCTCTGCCTTCTTATAGCCTGCAATCGGGACACAATGGCTGGTGTGACAGCATCCATCTTGTGGTGTGAGGTGATGTTGAGACTGGAAGTTCCATGTTAGGTAGATAAAGCAGAACATAGGGGGTCTGGGATCCTGAAGATCATGGTACCACCAAACAGTCCTTCCTTTGGACTTTTGCATGAAAATATAATGAATAAGCATCTTTCTTGTTTAAGCCTTGGATTTAAAAATATATTTTATTTCTATTCTGGATGCCATTTGGTCCTTTAAAGGATCAAGTTGTCTGTGAGTGATCCGTATGTAATCTGTTCAGATAATGACTTCATCTGATTACAAGTAGTCTTTTTACTAATGCTACTCTGGCCTGGGGGAGTTAGCAGTGCTGTTTTATTGGCAGTAACCAGTCCACTCATTCTAGATAAGCTGAAAATAGCCTTTTGGTTGTTCCTGGCTGTGATCTGTCACTTTCTGGTCCAGCCCTAACCAGGAGGTAGAGCTTCCTGCAAAAGGAATGCCAGTGACCTTTGTGCCTCTCATTTTCTTTTAAGACTCTTGACTTAATTTCTTCACTTGCCACAAACTAGGTACCCTTTATCATCCATGCATCTCAATATTTCTAGCAAGAATAATAAAGCCAAAACTATAAAAGGCCATGTCAGTATATTTGACAGTAGTGATAGGAAATTCTACTAGTCCTGAGTATTTATCCATGACTGTGGTGACACAGCTCATGGGTCAGCAAATTTCTTCTCTAAAGAGCCCAGAGAGTAGATATTTTAGGCTTTGAAGGTCACACGTTCTTTGTCACAGCTACTCAGTTCTGCCATTGTAGCTTGAGAGAAGTCATAGACAGTTATATGAACAAATGATTGCATTCCAATGAAACTTTTTTTATAAAAACAGGTTACAGGGCCGGATTTGATCCCAGACTGTAGTATGCCAACTCCTGATCTAAAGGAAAGAATTTGAAGCAAGGGGTCGAGTGAATTTTCTGGGTTCCTCTTGCTGACTGAAAAAAGACACTGGTGGAGTGACAGGTAGAGGGTACGTGGCTGCTGCTGCGATGACGGAGGTTGTCCATGTAGAGGCTGGGATGTGCTCTGGTTCTGTGCAGTGTTGTGACTCCAGGCGGCTGTTGGATCCCAGCAGTGACGAGCATCTGCCATGAGTGGACAACAGAAGACTTTTTTTGGAGGAGGGTAATAAACAAGCAAAGAAATTTGTGTTTCTTCTGAAAAGAAGAGTAAGAGCTTTTACAGATCAGAGTAGGACTCAGCCAGAACTTGAGCCTCTGTCAGGTCGAACAGGTGTCCAGGCAACACCCGCATGCTTGAGACCTGTGTGTTGGGACAGTGGGGGCTGGCTGACAGAGCCCTTCCTGTGGCAGTTCCAGGGCCAGTAGCTTCTCCCACAAGCCGAATATGGGGAACTGCACAATTGGGAACAAATCCTTCCTCTGCAGTAAGGTGACCATGTCCTGGCTTGTCTGGGACTGAGGAAGTTCCTGGATGTGAGAATTTCAGAGCCAAAGCTGGGAAGTCCTGGGCAAACCAGGGCGTTCTGACCACCCTACTCTGGAATAAACAACCAACCATTCTTGGGGGCCCCCCTCTTGATCCTAAACCCCAATGGGGACGTGGGAGTCAAGGGAAAAATGATTCAGGTCAAATACACATCCTCATGGTACTATTGGAAAAGAAGTCTCAATGTGTCTCCTGGAAAACACTCCAGCCTGAAAGTCAGAGGGCCTTTCTCTCACTTCGGCCTCCACTTCTAGCCTACTGTGGGACCCCGGGCAATTTGCCTTATCATCCTGGCCCTCGTTTCCTCCACCAACAAAATGAGGAAGGTGAATTTGGTCATTTTTAAAGGTCTTTTTAATTCTCAAATTCTAGATCCAGGTGGCTTCTGCTGTTGCCATCTGTGACTTTGTGCACCTGTAGTCAGAAACAGGTCATTTTCTTGTACGCCCTAATTTCTTTAGGTTTGGGTACACATCTGTTGTGACTATCAAGAAATAAAAAGATGAATTTAATGATACAGCTCTGTTAGATCTGATGGTCTATGAAAAGTCACAGCAAGATCACGTTGGCCATGAATGAGTGAATGACTGTGGAAAAACCTATGGTGAGTCGTTTGTGCTTCCTTTTGTTGACTCTTTTACAAACAGCAAGGCTGAAATTATCCCTCTCTGGAGGTCTAGCTTACTAACAGCCTGCAGTAAGTAAGGCTTAATCCATAGAGTACTTTGTGTTACATTTCCAGCCTTGTTGCTTGTACGTATCAGGCTTCTGCTGTGAGGCTGCCTGGGGTAAGAGCTGCCGAGATACCAAAAGCAGCCCGGATAGTTACTCATCTCAAGGAATTTATCTGAGAAGGAGCTGAGTTTTACTCACATGGCAGATAGGATAGAAAAGTACATGAAAAGTACAAAAGGAGGTATTCAAGAAAAAGCAAAAATGTATAGTTCTATGAATTTGCTCTTTTTTGTTTAGTCCTTCTGTGAGGACTGAACACATCCTGTCTTTTCAGGGACAACAATATTGTTTTCAAATACTCTGCCCCTTTGTCCCTACTGAAATACCCCAAGCATAGCAGCATTTTGATAGCACAGTAGAATTCAAGCTACAATTTCATCGCTTCCCATACTCAGAAGTAGTACAGAGTCTTTCTGTCAGGTTGTGTTCTGATTTTTGATACTGAAATACGGACCTGATTAGGAACAGAAGTGATCAGTATTGGCAAAAGTGATAGGAGTGTCTTCAAGGGAGAAGTAAGACTTAGATTTAGAGAGTGTGAGACCTGGACGAAGTTTCAGAAATTATGTAGCCCAGCCCATCTCTGTACAGGCCGGG